TATTGTACCGGGACCACCGGAAGGGTCCCGGGGGTCCACCGGGTGGGGCCACCTATCCCGGAGGGCCCCATGGGATGAAGTGGGAAGGGAACCAGCCCCTAGTGGGCTGGTTCACCCCCCATGGGCCTCCCCTGCGCCAAGGGTTGGAAACCCTAGGGGTGGGGGCGCCCCACTTGGCTTGGGGGGCACTCCACCCCCCTTGGCCGCCGCCCCCCCCCCCTTGGAGAATCTCGGGAAAATAACATACCGATTGAACGAGGTATTGGGATACCGACGATCGAGTCTCGGGCAAATAACGTACCGATTGACAAAGGGAATTGTATATGGGATTGATTGAATCCTCGACATCGTGGTTCATCTGATAAGATCATCGAGGATCATGTGGGAGCCAACATGGGTATCCAGATCCCGCTGTTGGTTATTGACTGGAGAGTCGTCTCGGTCATGTCTGCGTGTCTGCCAAACCCGTAGGGTCTACACACTTAAGGTTCGGTGACGCTAGGGTTGTTGAGATATTAGCATACGGTAACCCGAAAGTTGTTCGGAGTCCCGGATGAGGTGCCGGACGTCACGAGGAGTTTCGGAATGGTCCGGAGGTGAAGATTTATATATAGGAAGTCAAGTTTCGGCCATCGGGAAGGTTTCGGGGGTAATCGGTATTGTACCGGGACCACCGGAAGTGTCCCGGGGGTCCATCGTGTGGGGCTACCTATCCCGGAGGGCCCCATGGGCTGAAGTGGGAAGGGAACCAGCCCCTAGTGGGCTGGTGCGCCCCCCATGTGCCTCCCCTGCGCCTAGGGTTTGAAACCCTAGTGGTGGGGGCGCCCCACTTGGCTTGGGGGGCACTCCACCCCCCTTGGCCGCTCCCCCCCCCCTTGGAGATTCAATCTCCTAGGGCTGACGCCCCCCTAGGGGTCCTATATATAGTGGGGGGGGAGGGAGGGCAGTCGCACCCTAGCCCTTGGCGCCTCCCTCTCCCTCCCGTGACACTCCTCCCTCTCCCTGAGCTTGGCGAAGCCCTGCCGAGATCACCGTTGCTTCCACCACCACGCTGTCATGCTGCTGGATCTTCATCAACCTCTCCTTCCCCCTTGCTGGATCAAGTTGGAGGAGACGTCTTCCCAACCGTACGTGTGTTGAACGCGGAGGTGCCGTCCGTTCGGCGCTAGGTCATCGGTGATTTGGATCACGACGAGTACGACTCCATCAACCCTGTTCTCTTGAACGCTTCCGCGCGCGATCTACAAGGGTATGTAGATGCACTCCCCTCTCCCTCGTTGCTAGATGACTCCATAGATTGATCTTGGTGATGCGTAGAAAATTTTAAAATTCTGCTACGTTCCCCAACAGCGTCAGGCTCCGGATCGGCTGCGGCGGCTGGTTCTGCGGCCACACAAGAAATGGCCACCACACAGGAGGCTATTGGATCGTCTGCGGCTGATTCTGAAAATTCTCCTGGATCTTCTGCATCTAGCCGGTCTGTGCATATTCCTGCGCAGAGTTCAGCACGACCAGAACCTATTGCTACACGTGTCATGACTCGTCTTCAAAAAGGTATTAGAAATCCTAAACAAAGAACAGATGGCACAATACCATATGGCATGTTGTGTATTGCAGGTGAACCAGCAAAACTAAGTGATGCATTTAGAGGTCCTAAATGGAAAAGAGCTATGGATGAAGAATATGGTGCACTCATGAAGAATAAAACATGGCACTTGGTACCAAGTCAGAGAGGTAAAAATATTATTGATTGCAAGTGGGTTTACAGAATAAAAAGAAAAGCAGATGACTCCATTGATAGGTACAAGGCACGTCTAGTTGCGAAAGAGTTTAAGCAAAGATATGGTATTGATTATGAGGATACATTCAGTCCAGTTGTTAAAGCTGCTACTATAAGACTTGTGCTAGCCATTGCTGTTTCCAGGGGATGGAGTCTTAGACAGCTAGATGTTCAGAACGCGTTTCTGCATGGTGTTCTGGAAGAGGAGGTCTATATGAGGCAACCACCAGGGTATGAGAATAAACAAACACCTCGTTATGTTTGCAAGCTTGATAAGGCTCTTTATGGCCTGAAGCAGTCACCTAGAGCTTGGTTCTCAAGGTTAAGTTTGCAATTGAAGCATCTTGGGTTTGTTCCATCCAAAGCAGATACATCTTTGTTTATTTATAATAAGGCACATACAGTGATTTTTGTGCTTATATATGTTGATGATATCATAGTTGCAAGCTCATCATCAAATGCAACTAATGCCCTCTTGCGTGACTTGAGTTCCGAGTTTGCACTGAAGGATCTAAGTGACTTACATTTTTTCTTAGGCATTGAAGTTAAGAAGACTCAAGATGGCATAATGTTAAATCAGGAAAAGTATGCTACTGAGCTTCTAACTCGTATGGGAATGAAGGATTGCAAACCTTCACCTACGCCATTGTCTTCTTCAGAACAACTTTCAGCATATCAAGGAGAACCGCTTAATGGACAAGAAAGTACAAAATATAGAAGTGCTGTTGGAGCTCTACAGTATTTGACTTTGACATGGTCACACATATCATTTGATGTAAACAAGGTTTGTCAGTATTTGCATGCTCCTACCTCCACTCATTGGACATCTGTCAAAAGGATTATACGATATATTAAGCACATTGTGAGTTTGGGACTTCAGTTCAAACGATCAAGTTCTACACTTGTTAGTGCTTTTTCTGATGCTGACTGGGCAGGATGTAGTGATGACAGAAAGTCAACTGGAGGATTTGCAGTGTTCTTTGGATCAAACCTTATTTCTTGGAGTGCCAGGAAACAAGCCACAGTATCAAGGTCAAGTACAGAGGCTGAGTATAAATCACTAGCAAATGCAACTGCTGAAATTATTTGGGTGGAATCATTGCTTCATGAGTTAGGAATCAAGCAACATCGTACATCTTGTCTATGGTGTGACAATTTGGGTGCTACATATCTGTCTGCTAATCCAGTTTTTCATACTAGAACCAAGCATATTGAGATAGATTTTCACTGTACGAGAAAGAGTTGTTGAGAAGAAGTTGGAGATACGATTTATTCCATCAAAGGATCAGTTAGCAGATGGGTTTACTAAAGCTCTTCCAGCAAGGCCGTTTGAGGAGTTCAAGAAAAATTTGAATATAGGATAGTTTAGATTAAGAGAGGGTGTTAGAATATCTGTTTAACTCTTGTAATTTAAACCTCCCTCCTATCTCTACTTCTCTTGTTTCCTTCTCGGACTCCTCATGTATCGATGAATCCTAGCGATCATCGTAAACTTGTAAGCCACGACAGGGGCAATTCCTGTCCCCAATAAATACACACAACGCGGCTCCCATCGGGAGTAGGAACGCTTCCACAAGATCAAATCTTATAGGGCTATCATGTGTGCGGCGTTCTTGTATATGCTGATTGGGCTATCATGTGTGTGGTGTTCTTGTATATGCTGATTGGGCTATCACGTGTGCGTGTCATGTTGTCCAGAAGCATTTGTAGTGTTGTTCTAGTAGTATATGGATGGATCGTTATCGGTTGATCCATGGAGTAGTATTTATTTTGTAGCATGGCTAGGTGATTATAAAAGGGTCCAAATTTGGGCAACCAACCACGCCGTTGAACGTACTGCTACTACAATTACTGTCGTCAAGGATGGAAGCACACAATAATAAGATAACATAGGCAATCGGTCGCTAAATCAATGGCAGTCTTATCCCATGTGAGGCCAAGGAAAACTTGGTCAATTCGAAGAGTTTCATACGGAACACTGTCTCAGCTGTCACGGCATTGACGAATGACATTGTCGTTCTCCACGCACCGGCTTGACCATGCTTCCATTCCATATGCTCCATTACCCCGAGCCAGCCAGCGCCCGTCGATCATCACACGCAACAAGTTTTCTCCCCCACAAAAAACACCAGCACGACGTCGTCGTTGTTTGACAAAGCAGGTGCCCAGACCGGCAGAAAGCCGTGTTTGCCAACGTACGTGGCCGTGGCCCGTGGAGGAGCATCATCGCAGGTCTTTTCTCCTTCTAAAAAACTCGAGTTTCACCGAGACGGAGTAGCCCTCCTCGGCGGCTAGGCTGGTGCGCGGCACATCGATCGCAGTCTGCTGCCCGCGCAGGCGCAGACTGGCGTACGGCACGCTGGTCCGTCAGACGGGACATTCCCTCAACAGAATGCACCGGGACGGAACGGCAAGGGAAAAGGTTGGGAAAGCGGAGCACCGTGTATGCCACGGGAGTCGCTGCCCGTGCTTTATTGCCGGAATTCTCCGTGGTGGCAGTGGCAGTGGCAGAGACGTGCGCCACCACGCACGAACCCTTTTTTCCCTTTTCTTTTCCTGATGATAACGCTGTGCACTTAATTGTGTGCACGGAAGCTTTTGGTCCAGAAACGCACAAGATGGAGATAGAGATAGAGCGGCTGGTGGCGTACGGCGCTACTGCGACTAGAGCCGGCCGCACGACCAGCGGCCCTCCCGGTGCCACGCACGCCCGGCGATCGCAGCGTGTGCGGCCGCCGCGTTGACATCTCGACTGCGCGTTCCTCCTTCCGTGCGCAGCAGCCAGCAGCCGCTGCGTCGTCATTTCCTGTAGCGGTAACGGCCTCGGTGGTGTACCGGCGGCGCGAACGAGACGCCCCCGACGCTCTGCCACCGCCGCTCACGGCGAGCCCGGCACGGCACGTCGACCGAGCCGAGCCCGCCCTGATCGACGAAACAGGGGCGGGTCGGTGCGTGCCGAGTCCCCAGCCCCACCGATCCGATCGGCAAGTCCCGAGCAGGTTCGCTCCCCACAGACATACCAGATCCCGACGCCCCCACCACACCGCCCCACCCCCCCTCCCTG